GACAGACCAAGAATAATAATCAAGGCAAATCTGGGATTCGAACCTCCGATCATGTGTTTCTGGCAGGCTTAAAAGGGACGGTAATTCTGGCGCCTGTGTCTACCGTGCCCTATCACTTCGAACGCATTAAGCGATGTTGTATTTAAAAACAAAATCTCATTGTTATCTATTTACCGCCTGTTACAAAAGTTTAAAACACTAAAAAGTAGCACAGTGGTATTGAAAAGGTTTTTAATGATAAATTTGAGATAAATGGAAAGATTAAGTGCAGAGAGAAATATTAAGATATTAGATAAAAGAAATCGACATTTCTTAATATAGAACCACAAGACACACACATGCACACCATTCACACACACTTTCACACCATTCACACACACTTTCACACCATTCACACACACTTTCACTCAATTATGTCTCGATGTATTTTCCCGGAATTTTATTTTTGCTGTGATATAAGTATTATACGTATAGACTAATTCGTATCATGTATTGAGTTGCAAATACCATGTACAATGTTCAGAGATAAAGAGTAAATTGAGAAATGTATTGATCCAATGTATTTGATTGACGAAGACGAGGCCGACAAGATAAGACAACCAATAAGAACACGAACATGAACATGACACCTCCATGTAATACATGAGTGGCCATATTAACATTTATATAGTAGTCGACAAGGATACCAAACGTATTAACTGGGTACAATGTGAGAAGCCCATTTCTGGTGTCCCCCGCCGTGATATTGCTGGAATATTGCTAAAAGCGGCGTAAAACAATATTCACTCACTCACTCACTCGCACGTATTAACTATACCTGGACCTAACGCTGCATATGGCGACAATGTAGATATCAATGACCAAGCACGTCTAACCGTAAATCCTTGAATAAACGCTTGTTATGATAAAACGCAGGGTCGTATATTAGTCTGCAACATTTAGGTCTTGTCGGCACCCTACACTGATATTTTGAATTGTGAAATTACCGTAAATGCCATCAACATGCCATCAACCACTATTTTTGCAATGTTCCAACTATATTGAAAGGGATTCATACATTGTAACCATAATGGGATTCGAACTAGGGTTTCCGAACGCTTTGACCACTAGACTACCCCAACCTCCCCTATCATCACACAAGAAGCTACATTGTGTGAAGTAAGCAGTAGTGTCAATTTGTTGTCGGTGTCAACTAAAAATACTGTCGCTCTTCAAGGGGTAGAATATATATATAACGAAAACCTATTTGTCTCGATATCCTCTAGTATTTGAAATTCAACTTTTTCTTCCTAACATGTAGAATATACACTCTGATCCCTTTTTCTGTCGATAGTGAGTGAGTGAGTGAGTTTGGTGTAACGCCGCTTTTAACAGTCATGGCGTGTAGCTAGATGTGAGAGGAAAGCCCAACGTGGTAGAGGTCTCAGACGTTAACTGTTCTTGAGAAACCCTTAATCACGAGGATGGTGCTGACAAACCAAGGGTCATAATTGGGGGCTAACATTGGATTTGAACCCGTGATCAGCGGATCCAATTCTTTTTTTAATCATTTTATCTCTTTTTGGAGTACACAAGATTATCGCACTTATATAGCGACGTGCATGCACGTGTTTGTGTGTGGCTGCTTGTACTAGTCCAGACTTATGCCGTTTTATAGTGCTAGCACACTGAGATACCATGCGGCAGTTTAACATGAATACCCCACTCAGACACACTATACTGACACCGAGCCGACCAGTCCTTGTTTTAGCCCCGTAATGCCGAGCGCCAGACAGGGTAACAAGTAAATCTTAAGTCCATGTAATATGAGTTGGTTATTTCTTGTTTGATGTGATGGAAATTTGGGACGGTTCGGAATGTTTGGTCTGAATATGTTTTGTTCAGTTATTGTTATAATGTGATTAAATCATCATATCTTTGTTCTTAATGTCCTAATAAAATTGTCAATTTTGAAAATTCTAGTTCTATTCCAGTTTTGTTCTTAATCCATTTTGCAAGGTTGTTCCAGATATCTTTTAAAATTGCACAATCAAAGAACATGTGCACGAAGGTTGCTTTTTCTCGGGATCTCGTTCTCGAACCATTTTTGTTTTGTGGACACATTATCTCTGAAGGGCTACGATTTATCACTTCCCAATCTTTTCAGTCATATTTAAAGGCAAGTGCTAGTTCCAATCTTTATTTTTGGAATATTATATTGTTACCTTATTTAAAATGTCATATAGTATTCTACCCCTCCAACCCCACCCCACCCACACCCACACCTCCACCATGTTGTCAAGGAAATAGGTTTTAATAGCAGATGCAATTAAGACATTTGTGATATATTCTTACGCTTGGAATATTGTTTGATTGCTTGTATAAGACTGGAGTATTCATTGAATTTTAATTATGGTCATATATTGTTTTTATGTCTAAAAGATCTGAAACTTTTCACTCTCACATTTTAAATCATTTATGAGATTAATACCTTTTCTCGAGTGGTGTTAATAACTTACCGGGATGTTTCCTCGTCACAGTTGTGATAACATATCTTTTTTTTCTCTTTTACCGAAGTTCCGTTTTTCTATTAAGCTTCTCGTGCATACAGTACATCTTTCCAAAATATATTGGTCCTAGCATTGATAACCTTTTCTGAAATATCAAGTTGTCATTTTAGCAGAAAATCAATTTGTGTAGGAGTTATATTATCAATAAAAAGAGTGGTAAGTTTAGAGTTTGGGCGTGAATGGAACAAATGTTAAATCTGTTGAGCAGTGATTGTATTTTTAGATCAGGTACTATTTATATCTTTCAATTCCTAAGGTTCTTTGATAATATTTCTACTGATTTTGTCTGATGTATTTTTCAATATAAAACGAAAGCACTGTGTTTCTAGTTCTTTTATGACTTTTTCGCTTGGATTTGGTAGGATTGAGTAAAGGTGTGTTAGTTTTGGTAAAATAATACTTTTAGTTCTGTAATTCTACTTAATAGGCCACGCTAAAGGGCTCGATTCCAAACTAAAATAAGAGCTATCTACTTTACAGTGGGCCTACATCAAATTTCAAAGCACAGTAGATTTATCTCCTAATTGTTCTTTTGTACTTTTAATTACTTCTTTGATTGTTTTCAGCGTTTTTCTGTCGAGTTTATGTGACAGATAGTGAGTAGGTCGGTTGTTTATAAAGCTGCTTGAACATTATTTCAGTCATACCAAGGCGTGTCAGCTAGATTTGGGTGGAAAGTCAAAGCTGGTGCAGGTCTCAGACGTTTTCCATTCTTGTGAAACCGTCTATCGCGGGGTGGTGATTACAAATTTTGGATCACATGTTGGGGCTAACCTTGGATTTGAACCCGTGATCAGCGGATCTATGTATGCTGATCTACGTTCTGTGGTGTATCTGGCCTGATACTTCGATAGCCGACGGCCTGCTTCAATACGTACGTTCCCTGAGAAATGGAAATAATATTCTATTCCACTGCTAAACTCAAGGCTTGGACAATCCAAGAACGGGCTACCATGTACTCATGTGAGGAACTGAACCCGAGACCATGGCAAGACGGGCGAACGCTTTAACCACAAGGCTACACCGAATTCCCAACAATTCAACCAAATCCCACCGACGTTGTTCAAGATTCCAAAGTAAATACGAACTACAACAATTACGAATTATTGCCTGTTGATATATAAATTATCTTTATGAATTTATAGTTTGTTACAAAACAACCACTAATGGAACGAATGTTTGCATAGCAGCAATTATACGGATTATTTTGAGGAAGTACAGAACATGTAGCCATATATCTGTCTCTTTGACCTGTTTCTCACACGACAACGACAATGTGTTATCGTCATATATATAACACACAACTTACATAAACAGTCTTACCCTGCATCGATGTTCTATAAACTGGGAGTACCATCTTTGATGCCATTGTCTTCAAAGACACGTGTAAAACAAATCATTATTGTCTTACAACATAATAAATCTATATCACACGTGAAGACACAAACCCACATGTTTCTTTCGAAAGTCTCAATACAAGAGCCCAGTGTCTATATTAAGCAGTATCGAATTTCAACGCGCCATATTTGCCCAAACCGAAATCTGCCAAATCTCCGGCACTCTCAGAAACCATTTACCTGTACAGATCAATACTAGTGATTAAACATGCCGCACACCTGTCCGTACTCACGCAGGTGGAAGGACAACGCTCTACGCACCGTCCCTCATCAGCCTATTGTTATTTCCGTCATTCCAAACAGTTGCTTCTTGTAGATCCGTCACCATGGTGATACCCTCTTCACGGGTACGTGTCGGTCCAACTCAACCTTCCGCCATCTTGAATTCCAGTTGATTGCTTTTTTCAAACTTTTTCATTGTGGTTTGTTATTGTGTCAGTGAGCAGCGGTGTATAATGATGGACCCATTGGTGAATTAACTCCAGTGTGGAACCATATGAAGTTGAGCAACTTACTGGTACGGATTCTAACTGAAAACATATATTGTGATTTCATCCAACGTAAAACCGCTGCATCGGTATTTGCGGGGGATGTTTCTGACGTATGTGGTCTTAATACCCTCCATGAGAAATATTTATTTATTCCAAAACCAGGAATCAGATTGAATACACCCGTGTACATGCATTTGGGCAAAAGCACCGTTTTTGTTCCAGGGCATGTTAAAAACCCTCTCATGGAAAAAGAAATTGTCTACACATATTGAGCTGTTGGCGGAAAACTACCTTTCGGCTCAAGTGGAGGGAAAAATGTATTGAAATATTCATTGGACTAAATGGATCCCGTCTAAAGTTTCAGGAGTCTACAAGGTTGGGTGTCTTGGAAAGAGTTGCCTTAGCAACCGGACCAATACGACCGCAATTGCACAATCTTGGTACGGTGTGGCAAGTTTCGTTTGCGGCTGTGGTAATGTTTCCGGCGTCAAACTACAAGCTGGATTGTTAACTGAGTTTATTTCCATTATTTACCAACATGACCTGAATATATCAACGCAGACGACAACTGAGAAAGAATGGAGCCTGGCTCACGGAGCCAGTCTTTGGCACCAAAGTTATCTTTAGCCCCAGGACGTTCTGGAAATAACCGTGTTGTGATCAATGTGGGGGGAATAAGGTACGAAACGTATAAAACAACCTTAAAAAGTATTCCCGACACCCGACTGTCATGGCTGACGGAGACGACAGCCCAAAACCCAGACTACGACAAGGCGTCTGGGGAATATTTCTTTGATCGCCACCCTGGTGTGTTTAACATGATATTAAACTATTACCGTACAGGGCGACTTCATGCGCCCACAGACGTGTGTGGACCCCTCTTTGAGGAGGAACTTGCGTTTTGGGGCATCGACGAGAAGCAGATCGAGCCCTGTTGCTGGAGCAACTACAGGGCGCATAGAGATGCTCAGGAAACATTGGCGGAATTTGATGATGGTGTTGGGGACGATGGGGAAATGGATGTAGAGGATGAGGATGAGATTGCCAAAAGGTTCGGGATAGTGGAAAAGAAAATTGATAAACCGTTTTGGGAACGGTGGCAACCACGGATTTGGAGTTTGTTAGAAGATCCGAAATCTTCCACTGGGGCTAAGGTAGGCACTGGTTTTCATTGTGTTTTTGATATATTTTTTGTTGTGTTTAAATCTGTTGGTTTTCAGGGAGAAAATAGATTCGTAGTCTCCCTGTGGGGATTCTTGCGAGAAAAGGAAACCTATGCGTGTCAAACAGTCGGTATTGCGTGTCAGAAAAGGTCACATATTTCAAATGATTGTGTAAAAGTGGGTATTCGGGAAGCAGAGAAAGTGTACAGTGCAGTAAACTACGGTTATATAAGAGAGAGAAATGTGTAGTTCTTCATTGGGGGCAGTAAATTTGTTAACACAGGGTTGACATAATCCTCTTCTGTATTTTTTTAATGCCACGTTTCCTAACACCCTATATATTTTATACCTTTTGTGTTTTGGGTAGTTGTCATCCTGAAAATTAGATTATTTCATTACAAATGTGAATCCCACAAACGCAAAATCTCCCTACTTAACACGCAACGACGTTTCACCGCTCCTTGTAATTGCGACTTAAAAAGTAGTTCCGTGTTTGAAAAATCTTAAAACATATAAACGAAAGTAACAAAAAGTATTAAGGGTTACGAATAATCTTTGGTAGATCGATAAACATGTCAATCACTGGATTGTCTGGTCCAGACTCGATTATTTACAGACCGGCGTCATAGAGCTGGAATATTGCTGAGTGCGGCGTTAAACAACAAACCAACCAGTAAACGTGGAGGGCCTGTATCACTTTGGACTGAACTACCTGAAGTACTTATCAAAGCGCCATTAAACCCAACCCACTCACTGACTCATATAAACCACAGATACATTTTGAACACATCATCTATAGGATATAACAACTTGAGGTAGATTTGTGGAAATAACGTGCAAGTTACATCACTCACAGTAATATGTTTTAACCTTATACATATTCTATAGATAGGCATGTATATATCAACAACAGGCATGTAGCATCTATCACAGGCAGGTATATCTGCAACAGGTAGGCTAATGGAATACCGGCAGGTTTATTGCCGCCATTGGCAAGTTCCTAACAACCACGGGCATGTTGTGGCAACCTTGGGTAGTGTGGTAGCAACCGCATACACATCTGTAGCAACAACAGGAATGTTAATATCGTCAACAGGCGAATGATGAAAGTGTGTCATAGCCTTAGGAGTAGAATAAACCCTTGGGCTCTTTTAGTAGGAGTGGGAAACGTGAAATACCCAGCTAGTTACTACAACTCAATGTTCCATCTCTACTGAAATACGATGTGTCATCTCAAAATGGGTTAGGGACTGGTCATTTATTAGAGGGTGGGGGAAAGTGTAGGGGCTGGGCCGGGGTGGGGGCAAATAAGATACAGTCAAAAGACCAAAAGTCAACATCAGTCAAGGCCTCAGTACAGACATGTGGAGGACCTTTCCTAATTTGACGCCTCAAGGGCAAAAATGATGCCCGATGCAATTCCCTACTTCACTTGTACCATATGTTCCCGTGTTTTTTTCACAGGTGAACTATTGACTTGCCTTTGCATGTGTCTGTGACGGGTGCCGCCGGTGGGGACAGGATACACTCACCTTTTCGCGAAGGCCTGGTATTATCACTATTTCATAGTGATTCATAAACACATGTTCATTAGCGGAGTCGTACAATGGACTGCTTTTAGCAAAGGTTTCTTATCAGTATTGGAAGGTTTTTATTATTTTCAGTGATCAATTAATTTAATTTATACCGTTAGTTTGTCTCTTATGCTCAGTGGAATCTGTTCCGGCGGATAATCGATTTTATCCCTTGCGTTGACGTTTTATCTTTTCAGGTGACGAGAGTGATTTTACTTGTGTCAGAAAATCATTGTATCTCCTGGAATCTATACCGCTTTCCTAATTAATTATAAATATATTTTCTAGAGAAACGATGTGATGTGTCCTTGTGTCCTTGTGAAGTTATTAATTATGCTACAAATACCAAGATATTTTCCAAGCTATACGAATCCAAATAAAGATATTTGCGCAACACATACATGTATGATGAATCTCAGGAAGGTTAAATTGTTTGATAGGCATTACTTAGAATTTGACGGATGACAAGGTAGACACAATTTTATGGATAACAACTTCTTTAATACTGTAAAAAGCGACGTTTCGGTATAGATACTTATACAGTTGTCAAGCAAGACACACAACGGTATAAGTATCTATACCGAAACGTCGCTTTTTACAGTATTAAAGAAGTTGTTATCCATACAATTGTGTCTACCTTCTCAGGAAGGTATCTAAAAATCTTTATAATGAATTATTGTACTAGCTTAAGCAAAACGGAGAGGTTTAATTACAGTGAAAACCTGGAGAACTTGAAGCATGCAACTCGTGAAAATATTAAATGGAGCCGCATCACCAGACTACATAAACAGTGTGTTTGACAACCATCGTTACATATTATCATAATATATAATTCAAGCTGATTTTGCATTAGATCTCGAACTGATCCCGTTGAAGATTAAACCACTTCTATCACGGGTCACATACACTACAGGATATAGTTCCAACTTTAGGGACTAACAGAAAATAGTAAAGGATTGTAAATACATATTTGATACAACCATTTTGAAGACAGACATATTCCTAACGTTCTTAAATTGTCTGTAAAGCATTAAGTGTATCTATCAAATTACAATGTCGAGCAGTTGTTAGCGCGTAGGAATATTTGTATTGAAATTAGAACAGCCGCCATTTTCAAACAGTTGGTCAGCCGCGTGTAAGCGTTCAGCATGTGTCATTTAGGGTGTAAACAGACAAGACAATTAGCAGACAACGCTGGGAACACATAAACAGGTCGGAAAAATGCTAATTATCAGCTACCAAGTTTGTTTTACCAACGTCAAGGTGTAGCTTCAAGGCAGTGTCGCGATAGCCCTTGAGGCACGGCGTTGAACAGGTGACCTTGTCCAGTGGCAATATATGATATCACCACAATGGAAAGTGTCGACATCAGTTTATCGGTACCCTGTATAGATAAGGGATATATTTCATTGAGCGATTTGACTACTGACTAGTTATATAACAAATTATCAAATTATCCGTAGATCGATACAATTGGAATGCCGATATTATACAGAAGTTTTAAGAAGGATGCTGCTTCGACAATACGTCTTAAACGACGTATCTTGATTTTTCGGGTTAATAGATTTTTTTAGTTTAGTCGGTAACCTGACTGTGTTTGTACATAAACCCTTTGTTTGTCGTAATCGACATAGAAATGTGTCGGCAAATGCTTCAACTGGTTAGTTTTATTTGAGATGTTTTACAGACTTGACGGACGAGCGTAACACACAATGATACATTGTGACGTCACTAGAAATGCAAACCTGCTGGGCAAAACACAGAAATGGTTGTTCGATGAGGATGTATAAGTCCCTATTTTGACTTTACCATATGTTCCCATATTGAACAATTGACTTGCATGTGTTAGTGACGGGTGCCACCTTTACGCGAACACCTGGTATCATCACTATTGGATAGTGCTTCATAAACACAGGCTCATCATAGTGTCGGAATCGCACAATGGACTCTGCTTTTAGCTGAGATTTCTTATAAATATGGAAAGGGTTTTGTCGCTTTTTTTTACGTGTATATTAGTTGTGGTTTGAAGTGATTCGACGACTATTTACATTCTAGTAACGTTTTGATAGCGTTTGTGAGTTTTTGCTAAAATCCAATTTTCAATTGTAAAATTTTTTTTGCCCGGCACATTACAAAAACAGTTCATTTGAAAATAAAAAAACCCTGATAATCAAAAGCAGTTTTGTCTGTATGGACCATCTGCATAATAACTTTATTTGTACACAATAATTATTAAAATATTTTATTATGTAAAGATAAATAAAATAACTCGAAAAGTGAAATTAATTCCTTTCCCCTAACCCTTAATACCCATCCCTTTCATGGAAGGTTGAACAAGAAAATCCCAGAATTCCCTGTGACAGGAACCATGTGAATAGTTTGAATTTAATCAATATTCAATTATGTTTTATTATAAACGTTATTAAGCTTCAAGAAAAGCCTTCTTCCCAACTGGGCACCGTGGTACGGATTCTCGTTCTCAAGGCCTACTTATAACGGTCCCTTGATCATGTTTGGATACTGCCAAATAACCGTTTCACGAAACATAAAATATGTATACACATGCAACTGATATACCAACATAAATGCACCCTTCTGGCTTGCAATAGGAACACCCACGCACTACATGCATAATGTAACAAACTAGCGATCAATATCAATTGATTAAAACAAATACATTATCATTCCTGTTTCAAGGAGTCATTGTGTGAATCAATGCCACAAAACCTTTCTATAGTCATTAGAAGAAATCTATGCTAAAAGCAGAGTTGATTGTACGAATCGATTGTGTTTATGAATCACTATCGAATAGTGATGATAGGTGTTCGCGAGAAGGTGAGCGTATCCTGTCCAACCGGCGGCACCCGTCACAAACACATGCAAAGGCATGTCAATTGTCCATCTACAAAAACGCGGAAACATATGGTACAAGTGAAGAATTGCATCAGACACTGAGGCGTTAAATTTGGAAATGTCCTCACATGACTACAAATAAACCTCATTGAAAGCTTTGCTAAGGATGGTGCTTTAAATAGTCGGATGCTTCAACTGTGATTAATGTCTTCAGTCTGGGTGGATTAAATATTCATGGTTGGTTCGTGAATATGTTCCGACATTTGTCCATGGCAACATTGCATCGATAAAATGAACATAGTTAAGATAAGATGTGTGGACGGGGTAACAGTACCACTCGGGCTGATGAGGGAGGCAGCAGAGGAACAATACTTGATGATGGACTGGATGTTGTCAAGTGTTTACAGATGGCGTATGTGTATCGGCTCGTTGCGGGGTAACCTAGCATATTTAACATCCGGCCCCCTGGGGGTCAGAGTGCATCAGGGGTATCAGGGGATGGGTCATCCAAAAATATGACAGTCCTAAGAGGAAAGTCATAAACAAATATTACACATATTTGAG